CCTTTTTCTTATTGTGGTGCTCAAGTATTTCATAAATTCTGGATATAAGTCCCTTATCTGATATGTTATTACCAAATACTTTTTCCCAGTCAGTGCTTCCCTTTTTACCCTGTTGGAGAAGTTTTTGGATGTGCATAGGGATTTGAGTCTTAGAGGATCCCATTCATCTACGTTATCCTCTCCTGGCTGTAGGTTAATTTCATTTAATTTTTTAAGAACATTTTAACAAAATGAATTCATTTAATTTTTTAAAGAATGTATTTTTTTTGTCAGAAGTACACCCAGTAGGAAATTTACCAATTCAGTATTTTTTGAGTTGATCTTCTGCACTCACTGCCCCTTGAGGTTCTTTTCTAAGAATTCTTTTTCCCTTTGAAATTCATTATTATGTTTGTTGTTATACTTTATTTTTGGTGTTGTATGGAGTATACACACAGCAAGATACACTATAATTCAGCGCTGTCTCCAGGTGATGTTTATTCCATTCATTGAGCTATACAGGCATTTGTCACTGTCCCTTTTTTTCTTCCTTTTCCTTTTATATCACCTTTTTTGCACACAGTGGCCACCTGGTGAGCGTGGGGGCTGATTCACTTGGTATCACCACTGCATTTGGATTCCATTCCACCTAGTCAATGTGGGGGCTGGCTCACTTGGTGTCACCACTTCTGGATCCTATGGGTCCTGGTTCACTTGTTGCCGTGGGGGCTGGTTCATGTGGTGTCACTGCATTTGGATCCCAGTCCACCTAGTGAGTGTGGCGACTGGTTCATGTCGTGTTACCGCATCTGGATCCCTGCTCCTCAGGAGAAGCGGAGGCACATTATTGTCCTGCTTTTCTTCCTTTAGGTACTAAGTGATGAAGTGAAGAGGAAGCAGTATGATGCTTATGGCTCGGCTGGCTTTGACACTGGTACCAGCAGCTCTGGGCAGAGCTACTGGAGGGGAGGCCCCACGGTTGACCCTGAAGAGTTGTTCAGGAAGATCTTTGGAGAGTTCTCATCATCATCATTTGGGGATTTCCAGGGTGTGTTTGATCAACCTCAGGAGGTGAGTGCCTCCTTTGGAAGTCATTTAAGTTTCAAACTGAATGTGATGAGAACAAATTTTGCTAAAGCAGCTGAGATGAAATGGCCTGGGGGAAGCTGATGTTTACATCTACTCTGGTTCTCCTCTTTCTAGCTGATGGGGTGGTGGGTAAGTACTTACGTGCTCACTGAAAGGTCAGGATTGCACACCCACCAGCTGCGTTATAGGAGAAAGGTGTAGCAGCTTCTGTAATGGTTACAGCCTTGGCAGACTCATGGTGCAGTCTGCCCTGCCCTACAGGTTTTCTTGGCAGCAAGAATTGGCTCAGTGTCAGTGGGGGCAGTGGGTTTGGGTTTTAGGGACCACTCATATTTGGGGGGTGGGGGGAGTTTCTCCAAAGGACATTTAGACATGATTAGCTGTCTTATAAGGAGCCCTGATGGCACAGTAGATTAATTGTTGATTGCTAACTGAAAGGTCAGTTACTTGAACCCACCAGCCACTCTGGGAGGAAGATACAACACCTGCATTCGTAAGAAGACAATCTTGAAGCTTTTTGGGGTAGTTGTTTTTTGTTCTGCAGGGTTGCTGCGAGGTGGATTCTGTTCCCATAGAGTGGCTGGTGGGTTTGAACTGCTAGTCTTTCAGTTGATAGCCCAGAAATATGCTACCAGGGCCTCTTAAAATTAAAAGAAACACTTCCTTAATTTTAAGAAATGTCTCATCTACATGGTAGATTTTGGGTTCACTCTGAAGAACTAAGGACCACTAACTGAAAGGTCAGTAGTTTGAACCTGCCGGCTCCTCCTGGGGAGGAAGATGTGACAATCTACTTCTGTAGGATTTGCAACCTTGGAAACCCTGTGTGGCAGAGTTTCTGTCTCGCAGAGTTTCTCCGAACTGGATCAACTCAACTTTGGTGGCGTGTTTGTTCAGCCTCAGGATATAAGTGTATATTTCTGAAAAACCATTCCACTTTTTGGCTTGAGTGCTATGAAAATAGACATTTTACTTGTTTATGCTTCACAAAGGAGAAGCCAAAGGAGCTTAGATGAAATAATCTGGAGGCAACTAATCCTATAGCTAATTATGAGGATTTCTGTTTTGATACTCTCCTACAGTTGGTTACTTAACCAGCAGTGAAGGCTTTTAGAGTTACCAGTGAGGTATTAGTATTTAATTCATGCCCAGCCCAATAGAGAGTCAGCCACCAGCCCCACCTTTTTCACATTTATGTCGTCATAAAGCATTGTAGGCAGATCTTGGAAATGCTGGGGTCAGTCTCAAAGCATTGCAGTAACGCTTAGGTCATAGTAAAGTGAGGTAGGTGACTTTTCTGACTTCCCAGTGTGTGTTTACACTACGACACACTCACTGCCATTGAGATTTGTTTGCACAATATTGTGACACTTACTGTCATTGTATCACTTCTAACTTGTGAGGGCCTTCCATTGAGTTTCCAAGGTGAATAGTTTTGGGAAGAGATTGTTCGTCCTTAGCCCTCAATATAACTGGTAGATTTGAGCCACTAGCCTTTTTCTAGTTAAAACCCAACAGAATTCTGCTAGGACTCCCTGAATATTATAAAAGGTTTTGAAATACATGAGAATGGCCCACATGTGATCCAGAGATGGCAGAGTGATCATATGCTGTTGGAAAAATGGCACCAGTAGACTTGGTCAGCATGGAGTTTCCACAAATCAATGTCAGGAACCAAGTATCCATAAGATGTAATAAAGTAAAATATTCCCATAGTGGAGCCAAAGAAAACGAGGTTATTATGAATTTAGTTATTGTGGCTCATTCAAGACCATCTCTCAGATATTATCAAGTTATTTTTCAGATATTTATTGGTGTGGGTCTCCAGTTTATTGGAAAAGATCTCATCACTTTCATTAAACCTGCAAGATCTCTTACAAAACTCCAAGAGATAGACCTTTCCCTGGTCATTGTGAAGAGGGATGTGACAGGCCTGCTTTTGTTTTCTTTAGTACATCATGGACTTGACCTTCAACCAAGCTGCAAAGGGTGTCAACAAGGAGTTTGTGGTGAATATCACTGACACCTGTGCGCGATGTGATGGCAAAGGGAACGAGCCTGGCAGCAAGGTGCAACACTGCCACTACTGTGGTGGCTCTGGCATGGTAAGGGGCTATGTCCCATCCCTCCTCTCCTCTCTGAGATGCTGGGGGTATTCGTTTCCTGAAGGCCCAGGGCTTGGTGAGCTCACCAGTGGTTCACCAGTGAGCTCACTATTTGATTTCCTTCGGGAGAGCTCTGTCTTGGTAGGTGGGTAGTGTAGATGAAGCAAGCAATCTATGCCTCTCTGAAAATATTTGGGCTTGTGTTGGTCTTTAGGTCTGATCTCCTCTCCTTTTTATTTTCAGTAGTCTTTTATTTTGTTACAATTCAGATTTACAGAACTCTCTGTCCCTTTTAACCAGATGAACCAGGAATTGACTTTCTGTCCCATTTGCTTTGTCATTTTTTCACTTCAGCCTTGAGAACTTGTTGGAGCACAATCCCACTCTAGCCACACACAGGGTGCCCTGTCTGGAGGGAGGCCAACATGTTGCCGCTGGCTCTGCTTTTCATTTTATGGCTAAATAACTCTTTCTTTTAAGAACTAGAACATTCTCTTCCATAATAGCAATTCAGTTGTGAAAATCAGGAATTTAATATTGATGTGATAACTGCCTATTTTTTAAAAAGTTTCTAGTAAATTTATGTAACATTCAGTTGTTTGTTGTTGTTTTTAATACTATAATTTTAGTGAGCATTTACTGAAAGGATTGGTTTTCCTATCCATCTATTTTGATGGCTGCAGAGTGGTGCATCTCCTAATTTCAACATCCTTTCTCCATTTATTAGTTGGCTTTCAGTGGAAGGGAAGAGTTTTCCTCTCTCCCCAATGACTTGTCCGTTTGTTGACAAAAGTGTGAACCTGGGGATTCTTCTTCTCTTCCCTAGATTATAATCAGTACTATTACTTTGATGCTCCTGATTAGGCCTCTGGGTATCGCTCTAGACTGGCTCCTGTGATTTTCTACCGTATTCTCGTTATTCTTTCAGCCTCCTTTTTAAAAAACTATCTAGAAAAGATGATTGAATTCTATTTCTGCTCCACAAGGATCATTCTAGTCTTCTCCCTGATTTATCCATATTTGTTATGACTTTTTTCCTCTAACAGAGAAGAACCTAGTTCTGAAAATAGTGTATTTACACATTCACTCAGTGCTCGATGCACATTTGTTTCAGCATTGTTGGTCGTACTGTTGCAAAACAATCCTATTCTCTGGCATTTGTTGTGCAGTTAGCCTGTTTGTCTTCATTTATTTACTTATTCTTACTATTTTATTGTGCTGTGAGTGAAAGTTTACAGAGAAAACTGGTTTTCCATTTATAATTTGTTCACCGTTTGTTTTGTGACATTGAATGCAGTCCCCACAGGGTAGCAGACTCTCCCACTGCCTGCCTGTGTTTTCCATTTACTCTTCTTTCTTGCCTTTTTAGTTTTATCCCTGAATACATGTTTTTTAAATTTTAATCTTGATTGGTTTTGCTTTTATTGTTGTTTTAACAGAATGAGAGAGAAAGTGGTAGAGTTTTCTTGTTAACTAGTAAATGTTGTTACAGTGAAACATGGTTCTCTGAGTTTTCTGCCTCTGACAGGTGCAATCTTAACAGTTTCTTACTTTAGTGAAAATTTTCCTTTTCTCACAGGTTTCCACCTTAACCTGGTTCCTGCTTTTGTAGCCAGAAAACCCTTCAGAGTGATACCATTTTCTTTGTTCATCTCTGTATCATTTACTTTCCATAACAAACATGTATTTGATAATTTTTGAAAACGCAAAGATGTTTAATCACAGGTAGCCAGCTTCCAGATGCCTAGTGAGAGGGTGGTGGCATGCATACAGAGCATCAGACTCATCGGTCAGGACAGTTGGGGGAGGCTAGGAGGTTTCCAGGGATGAGTACTGAATGGGTTCTAGTTGGGGGAGGCTGGGTGGATTCTTGGGATGAGTACTGAGTGGGTTCCAGTGGGGGGAGGCTAGGCGGTTTCCAGGGTATGAGTGCTGAGTAGATTACAGTGGGGGTGAGATGGACAGGTTCCAGGGGATGGCTGCTTGGTAAGTTATAGTGTGTGGATGAAGGGTGCCAGGGACTGGGAGATGGACAAGTTCCAGGGGATGGGTGCTGGGTAGTTTCCAGTGGGGGGAGGCTGGGCAGGTTCCAGGAGATGAGTGTGAGCAGGTTCTGGTGGGGAAGGTTCCAGGGGATGGCTGCTGAGTAAGTTTCAATTGGGGGGGGGGATGGTTTCAGGAGATGAGTGCTGAGTAGGTTCTAGTTGGGAGGAGGTGGACAGGTTCCAGGGGATGGCTGCTTGGTAAATTACAATGCATGGATGAGGGGTGCCAGGGGCTGGGAGATGGGCAAGTTCCAGGGGATGGGTGCTGGATAGGTTCCAGTTTGTGGGTGGGGGGCAGCTCTAGAGACGGGGAAGTGGACAGGTTCCAGGTTGTGAAGGAGTTTAAGATTGAGGAGAAGAGGGAGAGGATATTCCAGGTAAAAACATTAGAAAATATATTAACCCTCGTCTTGCCTGTGTCTTTGAATCATAGTTTGTTTTAATTTGTCCTTGTTCACATCTCTTTTCTACAGAGGAGTCCCCTCTGGTTGGTGAGGACTGACCCCACTGTACCCCACCTGTGTTTGATACTTTAGTGAGGACTGAATGGGGAGTGCTGGGAGGAAGAATGGACAGGGCTAGACTGGATATGGAGCACCCACAGGCGTTGGTGCCCCTTCTGGCGGCCCATGCCTCTGCTCAGAGCAGGCAGCAATGAGCTCAGCACCAGATGCCTCCCAGGCTGTAGGTGTGGCACATTCCGCTTTTGATTCTTCTGTGTTTTCTGGCCATTACTTTTCTAGATAAAGGGGGAGGAAATCTTCTAAAGCTGTGTTTGCTCCCCACTCTTGTGATTCCGTGTGCATTTCTCATTCCTACGTGGTAGGTGGTTTGTTGTTCTTAGTACTGTGCTCCAGAATGTGGAAGACAGGACAGGGTGAGCCCCTCCCCTTTGCACTTACTATGTCTGAGTGCCTGTGACATCATGGTGTGAGGTCCCCAGTATCATCCTGAATCCTCAGGGCTCCTGATTTTGTCTCTTTGCCAGGAAACCATTAACACAGGCCCCTTTGTGATGCGTTCCACCTGCCGGAGGTGCGGCGGCCGAGGCTCCATCATCATCACACCGTGCATAGTCTGTAGAGGGGCAGGGCAGGCCAAGCAGAGGAAGAAGGTGGTTATTCCAGTGCCTGCTGGTGAGTCCTGGCTTCTGTTGGGCCCAGGAGGCTGGTGGGCTTACTGCGGGCATGACGCCACAGTGGCCTTAGTGATTTGGCCTTGGAGCGTGGAGTGAGGCAGGGTAACTAGGATCATGTTATGGTCCCTTTTCTCCTCAGTCCACAGGTGCACACTCACCTGTGTTGTCAGGGGAATGGTGGCCTGAACAGTGAGGAAGCAACACCACTCCATCACTCTCTACCATGCCCACTGCTGCCCCCAGTCCATTCTGCTGCTCCACTTCGGGGCCACTGGAATACCCACTCCCTGCCCACATGCCAGCACTGGTCCCAAGTAGTTTCCAGCAGGGAGCATAGCACTTGCTCTGTCTCAATCCCTCAGTGACTTCCCATTGCTGACACCATGATGGTAGAACTTCTTTATCCCTCCCACCCTCCCAGCTCCCCTGTAATCATCCCCACCACTCCATGTTGCCAGCCCTGGTCTTAGTTCTTAGACCACACTACCTTTGCAGTACCGTCTCTGTGTCTGAAGCTCATGTCTAACTTACTAGCAAGTCAGCTGAGCACTTCTCAGAGATTCCAGCTCATGTAACCACTTCCCTTGATCCATTCCCATCCTTAGCTCTGAGAACATGTTTGCATTTATTACACCTTTAGTAGCGCTATTAATTCTACTTTCACCAGTCTGGATGTACTGGAAAGGATCCCTGGAAATGTAGTATATTGTCTGTTGGACTGCTAACTTAACGGTCAGTGGTTCAAATCCACCTGGCACTATGTGGGAGAAAGATGAGGCTGTCTCCTCCCATAGAGATATGAGGTCTCAGAAGCCTGGCATGGAGTTGCTGTGAGTTGACTCAGTGGCAGTAGGTTGAATTTGCTATTTTAATGGTCTCCTACTGAAGTAGGAGCCCCCTGAAACACCGGGGCTAGGCAGGACCCAGGAGATGTGAATATGTGAGCAAAGGTGCTTGGCTTGGCTAGCAAAGACTGTAGCTGCACCTTTGGAGAATTAAATTTCTGAGGTCATTGATAATGTTCCTCATCACCAAGAAGTCGGGGCTGTGGATGGATCTGGGGTAGGAAGATCAGGAAGAGTAGTTCCCACCTGAAGGTTTGTTCTTTTCACAGGAGTGGAGGACGGCCAGACTGTGAGGATGCCCGTAGGAAAGAGAGAGATTTTTGTCACCTTCAGGGTAGGTCTGCAGCTCATGCTGCTTCATTGGTCCCTCTTTCTCTCTTGTGCTTTGGGTGAAAGTTTACAGGGCAGTTGATTTTCCTCTCAGTCATTTCTGCTGATGTACCAACACTCTCTCCTGCCTTCCTTTAGGTGCAGAAGAGCCCAGTCTTTAGGAGGGACGGTGCAGACATCCACTCGGACCTCTTCATCTCTGTAGCTCAGGCCATCCTTGGCGGGACAGCCCGTGCCCAGGGCCTCTACGAGACTATCAACGTGACAGTGAGTGTGGTACTGGACACATGGGAACTTCTGCCCTCTCTGCAGAGACAGAAATGAGGCATGGCAGATAGGCAACCTATATCCTGGATGTGATCCATATATTGGGGTTCAGAAAAACACAGTTTGGGGGAGGGTAATGATGATCCAAGGGGAATCCTTGGGTGTGATTCATAAAGTTGAAGGCCTTGACTAAGAGGAACCCTGATTGTGAGCACTTAAGTGGTCACCTGCTAATCAAAAGGTCTGCGGCTCAAACCCACAGGCTGCCGTGGGGGAGGAGGCTGAGACGAGTGCTTCCATCAGGATTTTCAGCCTATAAAACCCTGTGGGTAAGCCCGTCTAGTTCCTGTGAGTCAGAATTAGTGGCAGAGGGCTGGAGGTCTTGGTTTCTGAGGCCTAACTGAGGCCCCTGTTAGCACTTACACCTTCTGCTTGGAGGTCAGTCTCAGGTGCTGTGCCACAAAGGCAAAGCTGCAGTGAGCTTGATTTGCCCTTTGCCATGTTTGTCCTCTCTCTGCTCCTCCTACCTCCTGGCTTACCACTGGGCCACTCAGAGCTTCTTTGCCCTTCCTGGGACCTTGCAGTGTCTTTAGCTGCCACTTTCGCAGCACCCAGGGTCTGTCTGTCTTGGGATAGGAGTGCTGCTCCAGCCTTTCAGGAGCCATGAGTACAAAGAGGGGTTGATGTTGAGGCAGCCTCACCCCAGAGAAACAGCCATAGAGCAAATGACTGGCAGTTCACCCATCTGTCAGCTTTCCTCTACCCTCTTCAGGGGACCCCTAGTTGTGTAATGGTTAATGTAGCAGCTACTAACTGAAAGGTTGATGGTTTGAACCCACCAAATGTTTCTAGGAGAAAGATGTGACATTTTGCTACTGTAACAACAGCACTGTTACGTGCTGTCAGATGACCTACAACTCCTAGTGACCACAGAAGGTTACCCTGTGCCATCCTCACAGTCTCTCATATGCTCGAGCCCATTGTGATAGTCAGAGTGTCAGTCTACCTTGTTGAAAGCCTTCCTTTGTCTGACCCTCTGTCTTTTCCAGCATGATGACCTTTTCCAAGACCCTCTTCAGACTATATGTCCAAAGTAAGTGAGATGAAGTTTCACCATCTTCAAAGAGCACCCTTATAGCACTTCCTCCATGACAGACTTGTTTCTTCTTTTGGCAGTCCATGGGACACTCAGTATTCTTCTGCAACAACACAACTCAAAGGCATCAATAATTTTTCTATCATCCTTGTTCATTGTCTTAACTTTCAGATCATAGGAAGAAGCAATTGAAAAAATTATGGCTTGGAGCAGGCACATCTTGGTTTTAAAGCTGACATCCTTGCTTTTTAGCAAGAGAGATCTTTGACAGGATATTTTTCTAGTCTGGTGCATCTTTTGATCTCTTGACTGGCTATTACCATGGATGGTGATTTTTGTATCCAAGTAAATGAAATTGTTGCCAACTTCAGTCTTTTCTCCATCTGTCATGCTGCCTGTTGGTCCAGTGGTGAGGATTTTTGTTTTCCTAATGTTAAATTGTACTTTTTCTTGAAGGCTGTAGTCTTAGATCTGCAGGATGTGTTTTGAAGTCCTCTTCACTTTGAGCAAACAAGGCAGTGTCCTCTACAGTTTTACTCTGACTTGGGGTATTGCTGTTAGTCCTAATTGACACCATGAGCATGGGTTTCTTCCAGTCTTACTTTCTGGTCTTTATATTTGCCTCTTGGCCTCCTTTCCCAAAGTACTCAAAGCTCTTGTTTGGAAATCCCAACCTAGCCAGTTCTACTGGTGATCTTCAGAGTTGGTTTGGAAGGACTGGGAGAATGTTTCACCCAGGCAGTGGCATACTCAGGAGAGTCTCAGATGTCTTTCCATTTCAGATTCCCCCTGGGACTCAGACAGATCAGAAGATTCGAATGGGTGGGAAAGGCATCCCCCGGATTAACAGCTATGGCTATGGTGACCACTACATCCACATCAAGATCAGAATCCCAAAGTAAGTGCTGTGCGGGCTCCGTCCAGAGCTGCCTGTCTCTGCGTGCTTTCACCCATCAGTGGCAGCATTGGAGGCTGCTGACCTCAGGCCTCCTTGGGGCTCTACCACTGTGAGCTTTGTGGCATGCTGGACTAGCTGTCCCCATGAAGTGGGTGTTGTAAAAGAGCCAGCCCCACCTGAGCTAAAGTAGTACTGTGTTCCACATGTTGTCACTGGCTAGTTTTGGACATTAAATACCCAGGCCTTTCCTCCAGGGCACCTGGAGGCAGGCCTGATGCTCCGGCTTTTTGTTAGGCCTCAGAGCTTGCTAACTGCAGCACACAGGGACCCATTCAGTCCTTAGGAGTGATTGATGAGTACTGTGGAGAAGACACTTGGACAGTGTTGCCCGTGTTGATACTGTCATGGTGTTGCCTCCAGGAGCTTGCAGTTAGTTAGCTGGGAGCAGCAGAGCTGTAAACAGATCCCTGCCTGAGATGGCTGTGTCCTGAAGGAGCATCTGAGCACAGGCTATGCCGTCATTGTCCGACCAGGCCTATGCACTCGGCCTGAGGGCGCTGGATGCCAACCCTTGTGATTTTAATTAGATAAATAGAGAACCTTTTACTTGCTTCATACATGGAAAAGTATATGCATATTTTTGTATACGTCTGCATGTATGTAAATAGATCTCTGTTTTGACAGTACAGCTGTTTACCAGAGCACAAATAGGGCTGTTGGAAATCAGTTTGGGTACCATAGGAGCTTTTTGATTCTCACCCATGACTCAGGCCCTCTTTCTCTCATTCCACAGGAGACTGACAAGCCGGCAGCAGAGCCTGATCCTGAGCTATGCAGAAGATGAGACGGAAGTGGACGGGACGGTGAATGGCGTCAGCCACACCAGCACAGGTAAGCAGAGCTTGGCTAGAACGGCAGAGTGGTGGCTGTCTGAGTCCCCCAGAGGATGGAAAGGATCGGAGATGCCTTTGTGGGGCTTTCCACTCATTGGTGTCTTCAAGAAGCACTGTGAAAGAGGGGAGCTGTGAGCTGGTCTGACAGAAGTGCCTCTCCTTTGCTATGTGCATTAAGATATGTCGAGTTGGCCAGCTCTCATGGCCTGTTGTTGTTATGTGCCGTCGAGTCGTTTGCGACTCATAGCGACCCTATGTACAACAGCCCTAAACCCTGCTCTATCCTGTGCCAATCGCATTGCCTCTGACACACCCATCCCGATTACCCCAGTCACTGAATCGATCCACCTCATAGAGGGTCTTCCCCTCCTGCGCTGTCCCTCTACTCTACCCAGCATGATGTCCTTCTCCAAAGACCTGTCTCTCCTTGCAACATGTCCAAAGTATGTCAGATGAAGCCCCAGAATCTTTGCCTCCAAGGAGTAGCCTGGTTTAACCCTCTCTAGGATAAATCTGTTTGTTTTCTTGGCAGTCCATGGTACATTCAATACTCTTCTCCAGCACCACAGCTCAAAGGCGTCAATTCTCCTTCTGTCCTCCCTAGTAATTGTCCAACTCTCTGATGCATAACAAGTGATTGCAAAGACCATGGCCTGTATCAGGCGCACCTTAGTCTCCAGAGAGACACCATTGCTCTTGAGTACTTTAGAGAGGTCCCTAACCGCAGACTTTCCCATCGCAATACATTTCTTGATTTCCTGACTGCTGGTGCCAAGAGTGTTGACCGTGGAGCCGAGCAAACTGAAGCTGTGAATCCGGATGCTACCAATTGGTCCAGTGGTGAGAATCTTTGTCTTCTTGACATTGAGTCTCAGTCCATACTGAAGGCTGCAGTCCTTGACCCTCTGCAGTAAGTGCATGAGGCCCTCCTCAGTTTCAGCGAGTAAGGTTGTGTCATCTGCATAACGCAGATTGTTGATAGATCTTCCACCAATCCTAACGCCACACATCTCCTCATAGAGCCCAGCCTCTCGGATAATCTGCTCTGCATACAGGTTGAAAAGGTATGGAGATAGGACATATCCCTGGCGCACACCCTTCCCAATTTTTAACCATTCAGTGTTGCCCTGCTCGGTTCTGACTACTGCCTCTTGGTCCAAGTGTAGGTTTCGCATTACCATGATTAAATGTTCTGGGAATCCCATTCTTCTGAGTCAGCCACAGTTTGTTATGATCCACACAGTCAAATGCCTTTGCATAATCAATGAAACACAGATAGACATTCTTCTGGTATTCTCTGCTTTCAGCTAAGATCCATCTAACATTGGCTACAATATCCCTAGTACCACGACCCCTTCTAAACTCAGCCTGGACTTCCGGCAGTTCTCTGCTGATGTGGTGTTACAGTCGTTTTAATCTTCAGTAGAATCTTGCTTGTATGTGAAATCAGTGATATTGTTTCCACACTCTGTTGGGTCACCCTGCTTTGGAATGGAAACAAATTTAGATCTCTTCCAGTCGGTTGGCCAAGTGGTTGTTTTCCAGATTTCTTGGCACAACTTGGTGAGCATGTCCAGGGCAGCATCTGTTAGCTGAAATATGTCCATTGGTATACCATCTATTCCTGGGACCTTGTTTTTTTGCTACTTCTTTCAAAGCAGCTTGAACTTCTTCCTTCATCACCTTAGGCTCTTGCTCATATGTTATTTCATTAAATTCTTCTGTGTCTGCCAATTCCTTTTGATACAGTGACTCAGTATATTCTTTCCATCTTCTTTAAATACTTCCTAGATCATTTACTATTCTTCCTACAGCATCCTTCTGGAAGTAGGAGCGGCATCCACTTCCGAAATGGCTTGCCTCCGGAAACTCTGTGTACAAACAGTGCTCTGGCCGTTCGTTCATAGGGTCGCTATGAGTCGTCTATGACTCTACACCATCAGACAACAACAACAACAACAAAGCATCCTTGATTATAGCAACTTGAGGTTTGAATTTGTTCTTCAGTTCCTTGAGCTTAAGAAATGCTGAGTGAGTTTGGCCCTTTTGAATTTCTGACTCCAGCTCCTTGCACATTTCATTGTAATATTTTCCTTTGTCATCCCATGCTGTCTTTTGGAATCTTCTGTTCAGCTCTTTAGTATCTTGAATTCTTCCTTGTGCTTTGGTTTCTCTGCACGCCAGTGCAATCTTCAGAGTTTCTTCAGACCTACATTTGGTCTTTTTTTTTCTCTTCTGTCTTTGTAATGACTGCTTGCACTCTTCTGGATGATATATTTGACATCCTCCCACAACTCATTAGGTCTTTGCTCATCAGTGTTCAAGACCTCAAACTTGTTCCTGAGATGTCTCTGAAATTCAGGTGGGATGAACTCAAAGTGATATTTTGGTTCCTGTGGATTCGGCTTAATTTTCCTCAGCTTCAGCTTGAACTTGCATATGAGTATTTGGTGGTCTGTACCACTATCAGCTCCTAGCCTAGTTTTCACAGCTGATATTGAGCTTCTCCAGCGGTTCTTTCCGCAGATGTAATCGATCTGATTCCTATGCATACCGTCAGGTGAAATCCATGTGTATAACCTGCGTTTATGTTTCTTATAAAACGTATTTGCAATGAATAAGTCATTGATTGTGCAAAATTCAATCATTCTATCTCCAGCTTCATTTCTGTCACCAAGTCCTTGTTTTCCAATTCTTCTCGGTTCCCAACTTTTGCGTTCCAGTCACCTATTATTATCATCAGTGCTTCTTGATTGCATGTTTGATCAATCTCTGATTGTAAAAGTTGGTAGAAATCCTCTATTTCTTCTTCTTTGGCTCTGGTTGTTGGTGCATATATCTGAATGATAGTGGTATTCATTGGACGTCCTTGTAAGCATATGGATATTATCCTGTTACTCACAATGATGTACTTCAAGATGGATCTAGAAATTACTTTTTTAACTATGAAAGGAACCCATTTTTTCTCACCTTTTCATCTCTGGAGTAATGGATCATATGATCATTTGACTCAAAATGCCCCATGCCAGTCCATCTCATCTCTCCAATGCCTAGTATGTCAATATTTATGCGTTCCATTTCTTTCTTAACAATATCTAATTTTCCTACATTCATGGTTCTCACATTCCATGTTCCAATCACTAGTGTCTGCTTACAACTGTTCCTCTTCCTTTGTATTTCCATATTGAAAGTTCTACCTCTGTTGCCCTTTCTGTTAGTCTACGTGTGTTTTCAGAGGCCTGCTATTTCAGAAGTGGATGGCCAGTCCTTCTTCCTAGTCTGTCTTAATCTGAATATTCAGATTTGGAGGAGTATCTGACAGACAAGCAATTGATAGAACAGTGAAAGATAAATCCCTCATTGTGGAGCTAACCATTAGTTACAGTGTTGTCCTTGCCCTTGGCCCAGTGTCTTGACCCACTTATTTCCCAGCTCCACCCTCCACCATGATACCCCTTTACTTCTACTGAATCTCTTCAGCATTTATCTTCCATTGTCCAACCCTTGATCTGGCAGCTTGTATCTGTGACAACTATTTCCTAAGTTTAGTGGTAATGTCTCCGAAGGGAGGGTGACGTGTCCTGTAGAACTGTGGGTGTGGCAAAACTTTCTCCGTGAGTCAGTTCTCTATTGGCTGGCCCCCGGTTTTGCTCAAGCAGCTTACAGTCTCTCCTGTTCTGCACGACGGATCCCTCTGTCTCCCTTCTGCATATCCTGCAAATGATCTTGGCTCAGCCTTGGGGCTTTTGTACCTGTAGGCATGCCAAAACTTTTCCCGCAAGTCGCTTCTCTATTGGCTGGCCCCCAGTTCTGCTCGCGTGGCTTCCAGTTTCCCCCGTTCTGCCCAGGGGATCCCTCTGTTTCCCCTCTGTGCATGAATCATAAACTTTTCATGGTCACTTAGTCACACACTTCTGTGGGCAAAATGTGTAAGCAGGCTCGTTTTATGTATTACATCTTTTTTTTTTTTTAATCAATTCACAATAAATATATTTTACACAAAAGTAAAAGCTTGCCAGTAATGAAAAATTCAGTAGAAAACAGTTCTTCTGCTTTAAGTTGGCGCTCAAAAGTAGAGGGTGTGTGTTAGTGAGTCTTCAGTAGAAAGAGAATTTTGTAAAAAAGCGTTCTTGGCATGAAGCTCTAACATAAATTTCGTAATGAAATCTCTACCATGCAACTTTACTGGCAGAAAGGCTGGTTTCT